GACGGGAGGGGGATTTGCCATCGAAGAGAACCGTCGCTTAGGGCTTGGCCACTCCTGTGTGGGGGTCCGAAGCTTCGCGCCCTGCGTGTGGTCTCTCCTTTTGATGGACATGCTGTGCATCGCAGAGCCTCTCTTCACTCTTGCCAGACTTCGACCGGCCCAAGAGAATTCGAAGCGCTGCAAGTTGTTGAAAGACTTCTTCGCTGCACCTGCAACTGGACCAGACCTGCGGAGAGCTAGCCTCTGCCTTCAGCTCACCGACCATGCCGTCAGGATTACTGCCCAGACAAAGCTTCGAGAGAACGACAAGAGGCCCTTGTTGGTCAGATTGGCGCAAGGACACGTTCAACAGCAGACCAACGCACACCTGCAGAGACTTCTCCCGCTGTTGCCCGTCGATGATAAGCTCCACGTCGGGGCCTGCGCGAGCGCCCTGTTCGCTGTCCAGTCACACCTGGTTGTCCGTTTCGAGAAGTACGCAGGGTACCCCGGCAAGCTGTGGGAGGCTTCCCGCGCGCACAACCCTCTCGGCAAGCAGGGGTCGAACCTCGTTGTCGTCGTGGTCGTGGTCGTGGTCGTGGTCGTCGTCTGTCCAGAGGAATCCGGAGGTTTCCGGGCGTCCTCCCGCGTTCCTGAGCGTCTCTGGACGTCTGGCTTTCAGGATTCTGAGTATGGTTTCTGCCTGTGCCTCCTGGCGCGGGCATTCCCTGGCAAGGCTACCCCACCGGCTGCAGAGCGCTCCTCGCCGAGGAGCCCGCTTCCCTGGACGCGGGCTTCACACTGGGTCTGCAAGCCCGCGCGCTGTCCAAGGGGGGCTTCGCGGACGCGACGGCTTATTTGGAGGGCAGCGAGGCGCAGGCGGAGATTGACCACGTCCTCGAGGCCACGCTCGTGACGTCGCTGGAGGCCGAGAGGAAACACCATCAGGACACAGCTCCAGAGAACCAGAAAGCCCGCACCTTAGCGACTGCATTTCGGAACCAACTGTTGCACCAATACCACGTTCGCCGAGAGCAGTTCCTCCCCGTGAGACTGGGCCTCCAGAGACGCGCAGACCAGCTTCGCAAGCAGAACTTGTGGAGCTTTGCGAGGGCTCGGTGGCCACACTTGGTGCCGCGCCCGCGAGGCGTGCGCTTCGGCGCAGGGGTGGCGGAGGCAGCCACCAGCCGCGATCTGGTTCACGAGGGCGACCAGGATGCCCTGAAGAATCTCGCGGAGCAGCACCGTGGGGAATTGCGGGCCCAGGTCGACGCTGCGCATGCGGAGGCCCGTCGGTTGATGGCGCTTGCCAAAGAGAGCGTGCTTCCGACAACGCAGAGCGACTGGCTGCAGTGGCTCGAATCCAACGAGGTCGTCTTCTCAGACATGTACAAGGCCATTCGCGCCGCCAGGCGCGAATTGAGCGCCCGCTTGGTGCCCCGGCCGTCCTTGAGTGCTTTGCCACCGTCTGCGTGGCCGCGCGTGCAACCCACTAGGTGCCGCGACGCCCCGGTATGGGAGCGCAAGATTAGTCATTTACGGTCCGGCTACGCGTCCATCCTGTGGGGGACTGGACCTGGTGAGAGAGTGGTGTTGTTCTTTGCTGTTCTGAATGGCGAGGGCCGTTACCTGCTCTTACACAACGACCCCGTGGGGTCCAACCGCTACTTTCTGAGCTACAACACTGATTTCAGGCGGTCTTTCTTGACGCACGAGGAGCTCGAGGCCAGGCACCAGGGACTCCGTCGGGAAGAGGCCGTCCGCGTGTTCACATTTTCCGTGGAGACGACATGTGGCATGGGGGGGCTTCGCCTGCGGTGCTTGCCGCCGCCGCAGGAGCAGGTCCGCGTGAACCCTTTGCTCGCGAAGGCCGCCGATGAGGCTCCGGAGCTGACAGGGGACCAGGACGACGCCGGCTTCCCGCCCGAGGACGAGAAAGAGGTACTGTCGGATATGGAGGACTCGGCCGCCGAGGAGGCGGAGGAGGGCGAGGGTGGCGACGGCGAAGAACCAGACGACGCTGTCGCGGAGGCAGGCGGAGGGGACGACGAAGACGAGGCTGATCGGGCGTCCCCAGGGACGTACGTTCTCTGGAATAATGGTTATTTCTCGTGCAAGCATAACCCGATGTGGCCTGACATGAAGATCAGCGTCCTCCCCCGGTGGACAGGGCCCGAGAACATGGGGAAAGCCCACCAAAGGCACAAGACAGCCACCATCAGCCACCACGGATCTGACGGCCGCGAGAGGCAGAGGACCGAGCTCGTACTTCGGGCTTGGATGATCTTTCGCTTCCAGGTCAATGGATTTGCTGCGGCCACGCCGCTCCGGAAGGCGTGGGTGGCGGCTGAGATTGAGGCGCTCACACGGGAAGTGGCCGCTCTCCCCGGCCCAGCCACCGGGCACCCCAAGGCAGACAGTAGGATCCGGGATTGGTGCCCGCAGGCTTTGTGAGCACATAAAGCGTTCGTAATGTTGTCACCATCGTCAGAGATGAAGGAGAGGAGGAGTAGAAGGAGGGGGAGGAGCAGCAGCAGCAGCAAGAGCAGGAGGATAGGGAGGACCACGAGACACACATGCGACACTGATAATACATTAATGGCGCATGAATGCTATTCTTATTATTATGCGGCGATTCTTGCTATTCTGAGCCATTCTCGTCGCATTCTCGTCGAACGCCCGTCCATTCTCGTCGAATTCTCGTCGAACGCCCGTCGAACGGCCGTCGAACGCCCGTCGAACGGCCGTCGAACGCCCGTCGGACGGCCGTCGAACAGGCCGAAGGGGGAGGAGGAGGAGGAGGGGGAGGAGGAGGAACGGGGGGGTGTCTTCCACGGCGGCCTAGCTTCGCGAAGGTCCGCTTGGGCGGGTGTGCCGGGCGAGCTGAGCTCGCCCGTGTGCCGCGGGGGGCTGGGCCGCCTTGGAAGACCCCCCCCCGTTCCCAGGCGCAGAGGCCCCCATGCGGGTGAGAGAAATCAGAGCACCTAAGTGCAAGCGCTTGGGGAATGTATCCCTGGTTCAAGACTAGGAAAAACAATTCTCCTCCCCGCCTCCAAGGAGCGCAGGCGAGCCGGCCGGGCCCGCGGGCAGGCCCGTCGAACAGGCCGAAGGGGGAGGAGGAGGAGGGGGAGGAGGAGGAGGAACGGGGGGGTGTCTTCCACGGCGGCCTAGCTTCGCGAAGGTCCGCTTGGGCGGGTGTGCCGGGCGAGCTGAGCTCGCCCGTGTGCCGCGGGGGGCTGGGCCGCCTTGGAAGACCCCAGGCCCGTCGAACAGGCCGAAGGGTGAGGAGGAGGAGGGGGGGGAGGAGGAAAGGGGGGGAGGAGGAGGACAGGTGCGTCGCCGATGCTATCGTGATCAGTATCTGTCAGGAAAGGCCTGGCAGAGATGCTTTGGATGGTGCGGTCAGGCTGGAGCTCCCGGTATTTAAACACCTGTTGCTGCGATCTCGGCTCCACGACCAGAAGTCGACCGAACGCCCAGCTCGGGCACAGAAGAGTACGGAAGAGGGAGAGACAGAAGCGAGAGAAATGCATGGAGACGACCGGGATCGAGAAGAGGATTTGCTTCAAAATGCCCCGCCGGATTTCGCTTCCCACAGCTCCTGGTGTCACGGAATACCCCCCCCTCTGGTGTCACGGAATGCCCCCCTGGATTCCGGCAAACATTGGGACCACAGTGGGCCCCAAACAGTGTGTTCAAGCAGTATATGTGGTGCAATATATGCGGGCCGTTCCATGCGACGCAAACTTTTCAATCACGATATGCGGTGCATGCTCGTGGGAACGGGGGGGTGTCTTCCACGGCGGCCTAGCTTCGCGAAGGTCCGCTTGGGCGGGTGTGCCGGGCGAGCTGAGCTCGCCCGTGTGCCGCGGGGGGCTGGGCCGCCTTGGAAGACCCCAGGCCCGTCGAACAGGCCGAAGGGCGAGGAGGGGGAGGGGGGGGAGGAGGAAAGGGGGGGGAGGAGGAGGACAGGGGCGTCGCCGATGCTATCGTGATCAGTATCTGTCAGGAAAGGCCTGGCAGAGATGCTTTGGATGGTGCGGTCAGGCTGGAGCTCCCGGTATTTAAACACCTGTTGCTGCGATCTCGGCTCCACGACCAGAAGTCGACCGAACGCCCAGCTCGGGCACAGAAGAGTACGGAAGAGGGAGAGACAGAAGCGAGAGAAATGCATGGTGACGAATGGAGTCGAGAAGAGGATTTGCTTCAAAATGCCCCGCCGGATTTCGCTTCCCACAGCTCCTGGTGTCACGGAATACCCCCCCCCTCTGGTGCCACGGAATACCCCCCTGGATTCCGGCAAACATTGGGACCACAGTGGGCCCCAAACAGTGTGTTCAAGCAGTATATGTGGTGCAATATATGCGGGCCGTTCCATGCGACGCAAACTTATCAATGACGATATGCGGTGCATGCTCGTGGGAACGGGGGGGTGTCTTCCACGGCGGCCTAGCTTCGCGAAGGTCCGCTTGGGCGGGTGTGCCGGGCGAGCTGAGCTCGCCCGTGTGCCGCGGGGGGCTGGGCCGCCTTGGAAGACCCCAGGCCCGTGGAACAGGCCGAAGGGTGAGGAGGGGGAGGGGGAGGAGGAGGAAAGGGGGGGGAGGAGGAGGACAGGTGCGTCGCCGATGCTATCGTGATCAGTATCTGTCAGGAAAGGCCTGGAAGAGATGCTTTGGATGGTGCGGTCAGGCTGGAGCTCCCGGTATTTAAACACCTGTTGCTGCGATCGCGGCTCCACGACCTTCCCGCCGACCGAACACCCAGCTCGGGCACAGAAGAGTACGTCAGAGGGAGAGACAGAAGCGAGAGAAATGCATGGAGACGAATGGAGTCGAGAAGAGGATTTGCTTCAAAATGCCCCGCCGGATTTCGCTTCCCACAGCTCCTGGTGTCACGGAATACCCCCCCCCTTTGGTGTCACGGAATACCCCCCTGGATTCCGGCAAACATTGGGACCGCAGTGGGCCCCAAACAGTGTGTTCAAGCAGTATATGTGGTGCAATATATGCGGGCCGTTCCATGCGACGCAAGCACTGGTATGGGACCAGGGGGACTTCTTGCTCGCATGATGCACCCAAGGCTTTCCTGGGGCACCGTGCCATTCTGGCTCAAGCCGTGCCCGAGAGGGGCTTCGCAGACGGTTGGGTTGCAGTCTGGCTTGCGAGTGGGTGGCATGTCGACCGTGCATTTGCCTCCGGCCGGCGAGATCAAGGCCGCGGTGGACGGCGCGCCCACTTCGGGCCCGAAAGCGAGGGAGGGCCGGCGGACACTGAAGCAACTCTCGCAGAGGTGCCCGCAGGTCGATGCCAGCGATGAGAACAACTTGCGCCTCGTGGTTGCGATGAAAAGTCCGAGCCCCGTCCTTCGCATCTCCGGCCGTGCTGGAGGAGGAGGAGGAGGAGGGGGAGGAGGAGGGGGAGGAGGAGGAGAAGGAGGAGGAGGAGGACGAGGAGGAGGAGGAGGAGGAGGAGGAGGAGGAGGAGGAGGAGGAGGGTACGGAGGAGGGGGGAGAGGAGGAGCAGAAGGAGGAGGAGGAAGAGGAGGAGGAGGAGGATAATGATCGGCATTGCTGAAGGTCTGGGGGTGACTAACGTGAACCTGTCCACTTTCAAGGACTGGGCGAAGAAGGTGACTGGGTTCGTCACTGACGAACAGATGGTGTACTTGCAGCCAAAAGCAGATCTGACACCCACGCCTGCTCAGAGGAAGTGGTTCTCCTGGGTCTGTCACATTACTTTCTACAGAGATAGTGCGTTCCTCGGGAGCGGCCTGAGAACGGCCAGGTGTCCGGGGTGGTTTGGGGGGCTCCCAGGGGGCCGCTCCGCCCCGCGCGAGGCGGCCCCCTGGGAACCTTTCGACTCCGCAGGCTCGTGCCGGAGTGGAAAGTGAAGGGGGCGGTGGACACTGAGACGTACTGGGTGTTCGAGACGGGGATCGCCCGTCTTGGGGTCGAAACCGCCACCCACCCCCAACGCTGGGCCCGAAGCCTGCCGCGATCCCCCTGGGCGGGGGTCGCGGCAGGCTGCGAGGCCAGAGGGGCGGGGGGCGGTTCCGCCGCCAGGGTAGGCGATCCCAAGGACGCCGGGCGACCTTTTGGGCAGCCTGCCCATCCGGAGGCGCATCGGCGTCACGGGGGCCCGAGACATGGGGGAGCAGGCGGGGCTGCTGGCGCTCGGGGGGGGCGCGGCCACGGCCTCCGGGAGCCGTTCCAGCGGAGCCGCAGCGCCGACCGTGGAGCCAGCCGAGCAGGAGGAGACGAGGAAGGGGGAGGGGAAGGGCGAGCCCGCGCCCGCCAAGCCCGGCTACGACCCAGGGGCCAAGCGCCCTTGCCCAGGGGACGGCGCGGGCGGTGCTGCAGACAAGCGCCAGCGCCCCCTGCCACAGCAGCCCAGCGATCCCGACCACGAGAAGGCTTCTCGTGGTGCGCGCGTGCACGTAGACGTATACGTGTGCATGCGCATACGTATGCACACGGGGGCCCTTGTCTCCACGGGGGGGCCCTTGTCGCCACGGCTGGACGCAGCCCGGAAAATTGGTGCGTTTTGGACCTGGGAGGGGTCCGGGGCCCGATTTTGCGTTCGCACTTCTTCTGTCGTCGCCACGGCTGGTCGCTGTGTCTGCAAGCCCCCTTCTCCGACTGTAAGTGTATACGCAAGCTTTGGAAGGGGACCGCGGCGCTGTTCAAGGGGTGCAAGGAGAACTGCAAGGCGGGCCGGTACATGAGCCCCGACGCAATGGATGGCAACAACGCCTTGTTCAAAGTCCGGATGTTTACTTCCTGGTTGGCCGATAGGCAGGGGGGGGCTGCTGGCGCGGCCGCGTATTTGCCACACGAGAAGGAGTTCTTCAAGTTCGTCGTCCAGTGGCTGCTGGAGGGCGACACCTGGGCGTGCATGCCGGCGTTTGTCAAAGTCTTCGAGGAGGCGGAGAAATTGGACGGATCCCTGCTTCCCAAGATCGTCAAAGCGATCAGTGCACTCTGCAAGGTGCCGCTCACGGCGGGTTGGAAACACGGCAGCACTGAGGGCCAGGAGGTCGACTTGGCATCTTTCAAGCTCAGCCCAGGAGAGACGGCAATCTTGACAGACTGCGCTTTCTTCCGGTCGTTCAAGCAGGCCCGCTTCGAAGCGCTCTTCGCGCTCGCCAAGGAGAACAAACTCCCGCCCGCGCGCCAGAGAGCTGACCTGGCACCCCGACGACGACGACGACGACGACGACGACGACGACGACGGCGGCGGCGACGACGGCGACGACGACGACGGCGGCGGCGGCGGCGGCGACGACGACGACGACGACGACGACGAGAGGGACGACGACGACGGCGACGACGGCGACGACGACGACTACGACGACGGCGACGACCACGACGACGACGGCGGCGGCGGCGGCGACGACGACGACGAGAGTGACGACGACGACGGCGACGACGACGACAGGGACGACGACGACGACGAAGGACGGGCGGCTGACGACGACGGAAGAAAACGAGGACGACGACGACGGCGACGGCGGCGACAGCGACAGCGACAACGGCGGCGACCTTGACGACGTTGTCGGTACGCATGCTCGTGTCCACGTGCCCGGAGAACGTCGAGACGGAGGCGGCGGCCAACAAAGGCGGGACCGTGGGGGGCGCGGACTGGATGCAGGAGCTCAAGCTGGCGTCCACTGTCCTCGGAAATGACAAGGCTGCGAACGTTGGCTTCCTGCTGCGGCTGGCCGACAAGCAGTTCAAGTGCTTCGAGGAGTGGTTCCCCGAGCATGAGTCGAAGTGCCTCCGCGCGCTGCTCAGGGGCACGAAGTACAAGGACGTGGACGCGAAGGTGGTGTCCAAGGCATGTGGGCAAACGGTCGATGCCGATGCCGTGGAGGCGGTCGCGAGCCCGGTCGTGCGGAACGTGGTCGTCGCTTGGGGGAAGGTGAACGAGTGGTTGGGCCCGGCGTACTCGAAGGAGGCGGCCGCGTTCGTGGCCGAGGTCTTCTTGGACGTCATCCACGTGTCCCTCGGCGCGTGTCCACGAGGGGCGCGCGCCGAGGGAGACGTGGACATCGCCACCAAGGCGCAGCAGCACAAGAGCTTGTGGGAGGTCGTGAACACGCCGGTCTTGCAGGCTGCCATCAAGGCGTTCGGCGACGAGAAGATGCAGGCAACCCTTACTTGTCTGATTCATTTTTCCTCCTCCATCTCCGTCGTCTCTGCCTCGGTTGTTTGTCCGAGGCTGAGGCCAAGGCTCTGCTCGCGCTCAAGGGGGCCGGGGAGCCTGCGCCCGCGGTCCAGCAGGAGCCGGCGGCGGGGGCCACGCAGAAGCCGGCGGCGGGGGCCACGGAGAAGCCGGGGGCGGCGCCCGCGCCCGCGCCCGCGGCGGCGGCGGCGGCAGCCGCCGCCGCGGCCTCCGCGGCGGGGCAGATTATCCCGGGGGCGACCGTGATCATCGCCAAGTGCACGAAAAAGCCGCATCACTACTTGGACATGAAGGCCAAGGTGAAATCCGTGGCCTCGAATGGGAAGGACGTGAGGGTCGTGATGCTCGAGGGTGAGAAGAAAGATACCGTGACCAGCAGGAAGATGGACGACCTGCGCTACCACGCAGAGGACGAGGTCAAGAAGCCGGAGGCCCCGCCCATGGACCCGGCGACAGTATTCGGCGAGGAGGTGCCGCCCTTCGACTGATGCCCTCGGCAGCTGATCGGTGATGGGAGTGCCTCTGTCTAGATTAGATGATGGGTGATAGGTATAGCTCTTGTCGGCATTGCTTTCCCCGCATTGTTGTTAGGTGTACAGTCAACGCGTCTAGTAAGGACGCGCGCCTTCCCCTAGGGTGCCCTTATGTCCTTGCCTCTGCGGCTCGTCCTCAGCCGTTTGCCTTGCCAAAGAATCCTAACTTCGGCCTCCAAGGGTCTTGCGTCCTTGCCACCCGTCCTTAATGCATGTTTTGACTGCAGTTCCTTTCGGCGCAGGGGAACTTCTTTTCGGCGCAGGGGAACCTGGCCAGCGATGCCCCTTCTCGGCATGGCTGATAGGATATAGTTCTCTTCGGCGCGAGTGTCCTCAAGCACGGTTTGGTGCGCGGCTGCTCACCATCGGTCTGTGTAGCTTTCAGCATGCGTTCGGTTTGCGAAACAAAACCACCCCCTCCCCCGAGGGCGGAGAGGCGACGCCGCGACCACCGGGGGTCGCCTCCACCGAGGAGGTCTTTCCGAGTTGTAGATTGGAGAGGCCTTGCGCCCGGTGCCGCCGCCGCCGCCGCCGCCGACGACGACGACGCCGACGACGACGACGACGCCGACGAGACATGGATGAGACATGAATGAGACATGAATGGGTGCTCCCACACTGAATCTGTGGTCCCCGCGAATGACATCGAAGATGAGGATGATGATGGTGATGAGGAGGAGGAGGAGGAGGATAACAGATAACAGTAATCAGAATGAGGATGAGGATAAGCAGCAGGAGGATGAGGGGGAGGAGGAGGCTGAGGTGGAGGAGAGGATGAGGAGGATGAGGAGGACGGGGGGAGGATGTGGAAGGGGTGGATAAGGAGGGGAATCAGGAGAATGAGGCTGAAGATAATGAGGAGGATGAGAAGACGGAGAAGGATGAGGATGTTGAGGAGGATGATAAGGATGATGAGGGGGAGCTATATGATTATAATGACGATGATGAGCAGGAGGAGGACAAGCAGCAGGACGAGGATGCAGCAGCAGCAGGATGGCAGCATAAGGAGGATGAGGAGGGGGATCAGGATGAGGAGGGGAAGGAGCAGCAGGAGGATGATAATGATGGCGATGATGAAGAGAAGGGGGAGGTAGAGGATGTGGAGGATGATGAGGATGGGGAGGAGGAAGAACAGCAGCATAATGAGGATTATGATGATGAGGATGAGGGGGAATCAAGAGGATGAGGAGGGGGAGGAGGAGGAGGAGGAGGAGGAGGTGGATGGGGAGAAGGAGGAGGAGGGGGAGGAGGAGGAGGAGTGGGGGGATGATCAGGAGGATGAGGAGCAGCAGGAGCGGGCCCCAACGGGCGCGTCGGGTCGGGCGGGCGGACCCTAACGGGCGGGTCGGGTCGGGCGGGCGGGACATTAAAGTAGGAAACATCATCGAGTTGGCACGCGCGTGCCCTAACGGGCGGGTCGGGTCCGGCGGGCGGACCCTAACGGGCGGGCGGGGCGGGTCGGTCGGGGCGAGACATTAAAATAGTGTTCAATATGTCTTGCTGGACCTCCGCGAGGGCGACGAGGGAGACGAAAACGACGAAGGGGTCGGCGACGACGACGACGACGATGAAGGCGACGACGACGACGACGACGATGAAGGCGACGACGACGACGATGAAGGCGACGACGACGACGAAGACCGCGACGACGACCCGTCCTCCTCCTCCCTCTTCTTCCTCCTCCTCCTCCACTTCATCAGTCAGCAAAAGCATAATATTCGCTATGATCATCAGCAGCGACATCACAATCATCGTAACAATCAACATCGTCATCGTCATCATCGTCATTACCATCACCATCATGGTCAACTTCATTGTCAACTTCGTCACCATCATAATCATATCACCGTCGCCGTCTGCATCGTCACGACCAACGTCACTATCAACATCGCAATCATCACCGTAGTCGTCATCGACGCCAACATAAACATCACCATCAATGTCCGGGTCCGGTGTCTGGTGTCCGGTGCCCGCTGCTTGGTGTCCAGTGCCCGGTGTCCGGTGTCCAGTGTTCGGTGTCCGGAGTCCAGCGCGCGAGAACCGTTCTATAGTGCGACGACGACGACGACGACGACGGCGGCGGCGGCG